CTGTGGCTATCCCTGGCGATGCGCCGTGCCTGTTGTTGCGAGCCGTGTCCACCGCATGGCGTCTGTTGGCACATGCACATGCACACAGACAAAAACAAGTGAGCAGACACAGACACAGATGCAAATCCGCCCAGCACCCGCCTTGGTTGGTGCCTTCTGAGTGAACTCAAGTCTCCGGTTGAGGACAATGCACCCCCAGGATTGAAGACGTGCACGTCGTTGTAGTAGGTCTCATCCACCGTCCCCCCATCGCCCGCCCTGGCGAGTTTCTGAGTCGGCCGAATGCGCAAGCAAAGTCACTCACCAGGGCCCAGGCCAGGGTCATCATCCCACTCACCAGGGCCCAGGGTCATCATCCCACTCACCAGGGTTGAACACATGCACGTCGTTGTAATACGTCTCGTCCACCGTCCCCCCGTCGCCCGCCTTGCCGCACCCCCCAAACACGTACACCACCCCCTCCACCCGCGCTGCTGCATGCCCCTCCCGTGCTGCTGGGACGTCTCCCTGCGCTGCCAGCCGCGTCCACGTGTTCGTTGCTGATTGGGACGGGGAGAGGGGGAGGGGGGAGGAGGAGGGAGAGAGGGGAGGGGAGGGGGGAGGGGAAGTGGGAGGGAAGGATGAACGAAGGGGGACGAAGGAGGGAGAGAGGGACAGGATTCAGGCAGACTGGAGTCAAGGGCCAGAACGATGAGAGGGCGGGCTTGCACCAGCATGGTGTTGGAAGTACAGGGACAAGGTTGTGCAAGTGTGCATGGCGTACAGTAGCATGCAACCGGCTGAATGACTTGAAACGCAAGACTGGTCGACAGCCTAGAAAATATATGTTAACGTATAATTATACAGCAGAGACGAACGGAATATTTTCTTCCGTGGAAGAGTTCGAGCGTGAGCAAATCATATGCATAGGCCCTAACATCCCATGCCACTCTATGCCTTCGCATGGCTCCAGTTTTGACGCCCACGACCTCGGGCTTGCAGGTGTGGAGTATGAGGTGTGGACGAGCATAACACTTGGCTTGGCATTGGGCTTGGCATTCCACGCCTTTACACTCAACTCCCTCGCATTTGGCGCCGTGACATTGCAATCTGCACTCACAGGTGTCGAGCATGTAGAGGTCGTTGAGCCCGACGATCCATCAGTGCCGCCGAAGACGAACAGCCGGCTGCCCACCACCGTGCTCGTGTGGCTGTCGCGCGGCGACGGCGGCGTGCCCTTGATGTTCGGCTTGCTCCACGCGTCCTTGGCTGTAAGTGACAGGGAGAAAGGAATGTAAAGAGAGCTTGACGAACGGTTTGCTACCGACGGCCGTGCGAGTATGATTGTCGCGGAAAGACCGAGGCTGCGATCGGCAACGGAAAACAATACACAGCGAGCATGAAAACCAAGCCATTCCCGTGGTTTTGAAGGCCAAGCTTCGAGCTTGTAAACGCCAATGTCGCCGGTCCGGCTAAGATCACCATTACACCGCCGTCTCAACCCTCGCGAGAAACTAGATTGCGACGTTGCGAACGAACTGAAACAGTCAGCTGGATTGCAATAAACTCGTAACACTTCAGCCTTCCCGCATTGTGATAATCTCGTAACGCTTGAGCCTTTTCGCGTTGCGACGAACCATCTGCTCCTACAACGTCGACGGCAGCGCTTGAAACTAAAAACGAGGGAAAGTAAAATGAAGTCCGAGGCTCAACGGGAAAACAGTTTCACGACGATCGTACTTGTGTTGTACACGTAGACGTCGTTCGTCTGCCGCTCGTCCTTGCCATAACCTCCGAAAACGTACACCTGACGGCCGTAGTTCACGGCATTCAGCGTGTGACCCCATTTCCTCCCTGGCCCGTGCTTGCCGCCTTTCCTCCCTGGCGATTTGCCTGGAATGGGCTCATGAGGCTTCACCTTGATCTCTATCTTCTCCCAGTGCATCTGTGCAATAAGGCGACTCTTGAGTTTGAAATATCAAACTTCCAGAACAGGGACACTAGCAGAAACCCGAGCTTTTACTCAACGCCAATAGTCACTAATTATGGCTCTAATGGCTGCACATATGGCACGGAGCTATTGGCCAGTGTCAGCCAAAAATTGCTAGCTTGATTGACGGAGTTATCAATTGTATTAGGAGCGAGATTGTGCCACTCTAGAGTGAGTTAGGACAAAGAAATGATAGCAAGAGGCAGAAATGGCCGCAGCTAGATTAGAGAGATGAAGAGAAGGCGCGAAGATGGTGCAGATAATTCCAAGGTGCGATATTGGAAAGACGCATTGTGATTGGTCCATTTCAATTTGAAACCCTAGGCTATCCAGATTTGGTAAATTGGCTACACGAGTTGCAGAATCGGGACTAGTTTCAAAACCTATATCCATCTCCATCCTACACCTTTTTCTGCTCTCGAGGAAGCTAATACGGGGTCCTTGTGGACCCCGAGCCTAGTCTTTCGCTCTGTACCATACTTCGGTGAAGGCATGTCACCCAACCGAACCATCCCAAAAACATCAGGCACCGTACTCTTCGCGCTTTGTGACGCCCCTGGATGTAGTCCCTGGACAAGGCTGTTGGTTGTGCCTTTGTCGCATCTGCTCATAGGGAGTATGAATTCCCTGCTTCAGGAGGGGCGGATATTGCAGAAAATGATGTGGCTTCCAATTTGCGATATAATTTCAGACTCCCAGCTTGGAGGTAGATTCGCCTTTGAACCTTGATGCCATTTGGGACGCGCGCAGGGTGATTCCAGAATCCGAGAAAGGTCACATCACATGGCGCTCCTCCCCTGTTCCCGAATCCTGAGGGCTGCTCAACGCGTTTCTCGCCGCTTCCTCCTCTTCTCGCGGACCCGGCGACTCCTTCCGCTGATTCTCCTCTCGCTTCACTCTCTGTCGGCAATCCCGAGGGTCGCCTGTAGCGGCCCTTTTCGCCTCTCAGCTTCAGCCGTTGATGATGGTCCCTCTCGCGCCACTAGAGCCCCATCTTCCAATCCTGGCCGTTCGGAGTTCCGTTCAACTTCAGCCGTGGATGCTGATCCTTCTCGCGTGTGCCGCGAGCTGGTGGAGCCGCACGGATTCACGTGCGAGGATCACCGTGTGAGTCTAGCGAGAGCTTTGGATGGAAGCACGTGTGATAATATCAAAAGGGAGACGAACCGTAGCAACACGGAGGCTTGGAATCTGGTTGAGCAGAGCATTTTCTGTTGGAAAGGAGCACTCAGTGTGACGGTCACGTCAAAGAGATTCACTCCAAAACAGCACAGCCAATCAGCACGGGATGCGGGATGCGGGATGCGAGATGCGGTCGTGTCACAGCATGCGCGCGGATCAGAGCCGTTCATGGTGGCAGAAAACGGGCACCGAGGAATGGCGGTCACTCATAGATCTCAATCCTCAGTAACCGTTCTCCCTTCCCCCCTCTCAGGTGGTAACGCGGGACGGTTTCATCCTGGGGCTCCAGCGAGTGGCCAGTCGCCAGGTGGACGCTAGGGGAGGCAGTCCTGGTGCAGGTAGCACGAGCAGCAGTGCTGCCAGCAACAACAGGACCCGCAGTACTAATAGCAGTGGAGGTAGCAGCAACAGCAGCAGCAGCAGCAGCAGCAGCAGCAGCAGGAGCAGCAGCAGCAGCAGCAGCAGCGGTGAGATTGGCAGCAAGAGCAGCAGCTCTCGTGGACCAGTGCTGCTTCAGCATGGGCTGTTCCTGGTGGGTCCTGTCAGGCCATTCGGCTCTCATCTCACCCCAATTGCTGCACCTGGTTCTGGTGAACCCGCACAGCACCGCACAGCACACCACAGCACACCACAGCACATCACAGGCGAAATTGCACGCATCATGTGCACGCATCATGCGCACGCATCATGTGCTCGCATGCCTCATCTCCTCTTCACACCCATCTCATTCACGTGCGTCTCATCTCAACACGGCCCATCATCATCCGTATGTGTGCCCGTACAGGACGTCATCACATCGAGCGCATCCGCTCCACTTTTGAGTCGACTCAAAAGTCATCTCATCTCAACACGGCGTACCCAACCCATACATGACGTCATCACAACGAGCCCATCCACTAGGCATCTCACCCGCCAATCATCTCTCATCCGCTTCTCACTCAAGCACCTCATGCATATGCATGCACCTTTCCACATCCCATCACCACACATCCCATCACCACACATCCCATCACCACACATCCCATCACCCACATCCCATCACCACACATCCCATCACCACACATCCCATCCACAGCGGACTCCAGAGACCCGAGAGCTGGGTTGTGCGCCCCGCCATGCAGCTCTTTGCTGTTCCTTGAGCATCCCGCATTCGGCACCAGTCACCCTTACAGGCCGCAGAGCACACCGTCACCCTTACAGGCCGCAGAGGCACACCGTCACCCTTACAGGCCGCAGAGGCACACCGTCACCCTTACAGGCCGCAGAGGCACACCGTCACCCTTACAGGCCGCAGAGGCACACCGTCACCCTTACAGGCCGCAGGGCACACGTCACCCTTACAGGCCGCAGAGGCACACCGTCACCCTTACAGGCCCGTCAGAGGGCACACCGTCACCCTTACAGGCCGCAGAGGCACACCGTCACCCTTACAGGCCGCAGAGGCACACCGTCACCCTTACAGGCCGCAGAGGCACACCGTCACCCTTACAGCTAGGTTGACAAAAACGCATTTGCAAGTTTGCGTTTTGAGTTTAAACGCAAAACGTTTTAACGCAATACTCAAAAACGCATCAAAACGCTCGAACGCACCGCGGAATTTTACCGGGCTGACCGAAGCAAAAAACGCAAAAAAAAAACGCGCGATATCAGAAATCGAAATTGCATTTCGCCGCGCGTCGCGAATCGACAGCACATTTCGCGCGTTGCACATTCGCGAAAATTTTCACAGCGACACATAAACTTGTCAGTCTCTCCCTCCCTTTTCCCAACGTGTTTGAATTCCCAACCCATTCCCCCTTACTAGATCCAGATCTATATGTAGAGGAGAACTTGGCTCACCTTCCATGCACAGCCACGATCTACTCCTACCCTTACGTTTTAGATTCCAGCAGCTAACCTATCCGATTTCCAGCCTCTAACATGGCGTCCTCCTCATCGCCAGTACATGCTCCTCAATCGGATGAGGGCGAGGGTTCCACCGGTGTCACCACGTTCGTCGAACAGCCCGACCATGCGATATTCAAGCACTTTAGGACGGGTGTGGCAGCGGACGGTAAGCTGACAGAGTCGCGAAAGTGTCACTACTGTCCCGCGACATTCGTTGGTGGCACGACGCGCGCCGCACAGCATTTGACGGAGTGGAACGGGATGAAGCGTCGTGGCGTCCACCTCTGCCCCGCCGTTCCTAAGAAAGCTCGTGACGAGGTCAAGGCGCATCAGGAGCGAAACAATGAGTCGAGGGACTGCAGGCGTCGTGCAGAGTCCTTGGCGCTGCAAGCTGTCGGCGGCGACGGGATGAGAGGCCGCATGACCGATTTTTTCGGTGATGAGCCCACGTGCAATCGGAAAGCTGCGGATGAGGCGATATGCCTCATGTTCGCGGCTCTTCGTCTGCCAGAGCACATCGCGGACAACCCCATCTTCACCAACGCCATCTCCTGCATTGGTCGTGCAGGCGCTTCCTATGTTGCCCCCAAGCGGCGGTACATAGGAGGTGCGGGGCTGCAGACATGCCGCACGCGTGTGGAGACAGCGCTTGGCCCCATCGCCGCCAGCTGGGAGAGGATGGCGTAACCCTAGCCAGCGACATGATGACTGATGTGAACGGGAGGCCGCAGGCAAACATACTTCTCATCAACGACAGTGGGGCAGTGTTTGTGGAGTCGATCGATACGAACATGGAGTTCAAAACGGGCGGGTACATCGCGAGCATCCTCCCGCCCGATCGTGCAGCGCGTGGGCCCGGAAAACATCGTTGCGTTCTGCACCGACGGCGGCAGCAATTACGGCGCGGCGTGCAGGGAGTTGATGGCAGAATTTCCCCACATTGAGAAGGTCCCGTGCGCCACGCATGTTTTGGACCTCCTCATGGAGGACATTGGGAAGATGGCGTGGGCGCGGGCAGTGGTGGAGAAGGCAGATTACATCATCGCCTTCGTCCGCAAACATCAGTTCACGCGGAACTTCATGCGCAACTGCAAGGTGGATGGGGGAAAGACGAAACAAGTTTTGCGGCCGGCCGGTACTCGCTTCGGGACCACCTACATAGCGGTGGGGCGCTTGACTGAGGTGCGGCGGGCCTTGACGCAACTCGTCCTGAGCAACGAGTGGAAGGATTTTGCTGCTGCAGGGGCGAGGAGGGCAGCGGCAGAGGTGTTTAGCACGGCGGTCATGGATGGTGAGTGGTGGAATGTGGCTGAAGCTTTCACCCACCTCATGCAGCTGCCATTTATGGTGATGCGGGCCACGGATTCGTCGGCGAAGGGAATGATGGGTAAGATTTACGACCTCATGTTGCAACTCACTGTGGACATGGATGACATGCTCGACAAGCATGGGGAGGAGTTCCTGAACGAGGACGAGGCGGAAGAGATCCGGGGGTTGGTGAAGAAGAGGTGGGATCAAGACTTGGCTTGCCCCTTGCACGTGGTTGGCCGGATGCTCAATCCGGCCAACCAAACAGAGGGAATCTTCCGCAAGGATAAGGAGTGCACCACTGTTTTGAAAAAGTTCCTCTCCACCCACTTCGACCGGCGCATGGTCACCCTCCCGAATGGGAGGACGGTGAAGGAATCAGTGGTGCTTCAGGACGGCCTCACCGACTTCTTCACCATGCGCGGCAGCTTTGGCCTTGCCGAGGCAATCGCTGACCGTGAGTTGGTGAAGGCGGGAGAGATGGACATGGTGCGGTGGTGGACTTGGCATGGCACCGACCATCCCGCCCTCACCGCCCTCGCTTGCCGTGTCCTCACACAGGCCGTCTCTGCAGCCGCATGCGAGCGCAATTGGGCGGTGTGGGACTCAGTCCACACCGCCAAGCGCAACCGCTTGGGGTCGGAGAAGTGCCGGGATTTGGTGTACGTGGCCCACAACTGGCATGTGGTCCACAACTGGTACAAGAAGGAGGAGGGGCTTGGGGTTGTTGCTGGGAACATCCCCGAGCCCCCCATGCGGAGGGATACAATGTGCTCGAGGAGGAGGCGGAGGAGGGGGAAGATGATGTGCTTGAGGATGAGTATGAGTAGGATAGATGTACAAGGTCGGATGGAGGAGGCATAGATGATGGAGAGAAGATAGGTAGTCAGGAGATGTGGCGGCGGAGGGGGAAGATAATGTGATGGAGGATGAGAATGAGTAGGGGAGATGTAGAAGGTCGGATGGAAGAGAGCATAGATGATGGAGAGGAGATAGGTAGTCGAGAGATGTGGCTGTGAATGTGTGTCCTTAGCGTGATGTTAATGTGAAAAGATAATTTCTGCTGTCCCCTCCTCACCCCTCTCCTCCCCCTCCCCCCACTCCCCCTATATCCCCTGCCCGGGCAAAAATTTCCGCCTGCCCGGGCAGGCGTTTTCCAAGCGTATTTGAAGCCTGAAATCCTACGTTTTGCGTCCTGAACGCAAGCGTTCCAAACGAAACGCAAAAACGCGGAAACGCGTTTATGCCACATAGCCTTACAGGCCGCAGAGGACAGCACCCTTACAGGCCGCAGAGGCACCGTCACCCTTACAGGCCGCAGAGGCACACCGTCACCCTTACAGGCCGCAGAGGCACACCGTCACCCTTACAGGCCGCAGAGGCACACCGTCACCCTTACAGGCCGCAGAGGCACACCGTCACCCTTACAGGCCGCAGAGGCACACCGTCACCCTTACAGGCCGCAGAGGCACACCGTCACCCTTACAGGCCGCAGAGGCACACCGTCACCCTTACAGGCCGCAGAGGCACACCGTCACCCTTACAGGCCGCAGAGGCACACCGTCACCCTTACAGGCCGCAGAGGCACAACCGTCACCCTTACAGGCCGCAGAGGCACACCGTCACCCTTACAGGCCGCAGAGGCACACCGTCACCCTTACAGGCCGCAGAGGCACACCTCCCCTTACAGCCGCAGAGCACACCGTCACCCTTACAGGCCGCAGAAGGCACACCGTCACCCTTACAGGCCGCAGAGCACACCGTTCACCCTTACAGGCCCGCCAGAGGCAACCACCGTCACCCTTACAGGCCGCAGAGGCCACACCGTCACCCTTACAGGCCGCAGAGGCACACCGTCACCCTTACAGGCCGCAGAGGCACACCGTCACCCCTTACAGGCCGCAGAGGCACACCGTCACCCTTACAGGCCGCGAGCACACCGTCACCCTTACAGGGCCGCAGAGCACACCGTCACCCTTACAGGCCGCAGAGGCACAACCGTCACCCTTACAGGCCGCAGAGGCACACCGTCACCCTTACAGCCGCAGAGGCACACCGCACCCTTACAGGCCGCAGAGGCACACCGTCACCCTTACAAGGCCGTCACCCTTACAGGCCGCAGAGGCACACCGTCACCCTTACAGGCCGCAGAGGCACACCGTCACCCTTACAGGCCGCAGAGGCACACCGTCACCCTTACAGGCCGCAGAGGCACACCGTCACCCTTACAGGCCGCAGAGGCACACCGTCACCCTTACAGGCCGCAGAGGCACACCGTCACCCTTACAGGCCGCAGAGGCACACCGTCACCCTTACAGGCCGCAGAGGCACACCGTCACCCTTACAGGCCGCAGAGGCACACCGTCACCCTTACAGGCCGCAGAGGCACACCGTCACCCTTACAGGCCGCAGAGGCACACCGTCACCCTTACAGGCCGCAGAGGCACACCGTCACCCTTACAGGCCGCAGAGGCACACCGTCACCCTTACAGGCCGCAGAGGCACACCGTCACCCTTACAGGCCGCAGAGGCACACCGTCACCCTTACAGGCCGCAGAGGCACACCGTCACCCTTACAGGCCGCAGAGGCACACCGTCACCCTTACAGGCCGCAGAGGCACACCGTCACCCTTACAGGCCGCAGAGGCACACCGTCACCCTTACAGGCCGCAGAGGCACACCGTCACCCTTACAGGCCGCAGAGGCACACCGTCACCCTTACAGGCCGCAGAGGCACACCGTCACCCTTACAGGCCGCAGAGGCACACCGTCACCCTTACAGGCCGCAGAGGCACACCGTCACCCTTACAGGCCGCAGAGGCACACCGTCACCCTTACAGGCCGCAGAGGCACACCGTCACCCTTACAGGCCGCAGAGGCACACCGTCACCCTTACAGGCCGCAGAGGCACACCGTCACCCTTACAGGCCGCAGAGGCACACCGTCACCCTTACAGGCCGCAGAGGCACACCGTCACCCTTACAGGCCGCAGAGGCACACCGTCACCCTTACAGGCCGCAGAGGCACACCGTCACCCTTACAGGCCGCAGAGGCACACCGTCACCCTTACAGGCCGCAGAGGCACACCGTCACCCTTACAGGCGCGCAGAGGCACACCGTCACCCTTACAGGCCGCAGAGGCACACCGTCACCCTTACAGGTCGCAGAGGCACACCGTCACCCTTACAGGCCGCAGAGGCACACCGTCACCCTTACAGGCCGCAGAGGCACACCGTCACCCTTACAGGCCGCAGAGGCACACCGTCACCCTTACAGGCCGCAGAGGCACACCGTCACCCTTACAGTCGCAGAGGCACACCGTCACCCTTACAGGTCGCAGAGGCACACCGTCACCCTTACAGGCCGCAGAGGCACACCGTCACCCTTACAGGCCGCAGAGGCACACCGTCACCCTTACAGGCCGCAGAGGCACACCGTCACCCTTACAGGCCGCAGAGGCACACCGTCACCCTTACAGGCCGCAGAGGCACACCGTCACCCTTACAGGCCGCAGAGGCACACCGTCACCCTTACAGGCCGCAGAGGCACACCGTCACCCTTACAGGTCGCAGAGGCACACCGTCACCCTTACAGGCCGCAGAGGCACACCGTCACCCTTACAGGCCGCAGAGGCACACCGTCACCCTTACAGGCCGCAGAGGCACCACCGTCCGCACCCTTACAGGCCGCAGAGGCACACCGTCACCCTTACAGGCCGCAGAGGCACACCGTCACCCTTACAGGTCGCAGAGGCACACCGTCACCCTTACAGGTCGCAGAGGCACACCGTCACCCTTACAGGCGCAGAGGCACACCGTCACCCTTACAGGTCGCAGAGGCACACCGTCACCCTTACAGGTCGCAGAGGCACACCGTCACCCTTACAGGTCGCAGAGGCACACCGTCACCCTTACAGGTCGCAGAGGCACACCGTCACCCTTACAGGTCGCAGAGGCACACCGTCACCCTTACAGGTCGCAGAGGCACACCGTCACCCTTACAGGTCGCAGAGGCACACCGTCACCCTTACAGGTCGCAGAGGCACACCGTCACCCTTACAGGTCGCAGAGGCACACCGTCACCCTTACAGGTCGCAGAGGCACACCGTCACCCTTACAGGCCGCAGAGGCACACCGTCACCCTTACAGGTCGCAGAGGCACACCGTCACCCTTACAGGTCGCAGAGGCACACCGTCACCCTTACAGGTCGCAGAGGCACACCGTCACCCTTACAGGTCGCAGAGGCACACCGTCACCCTTACAGGTCGCAGAGGCACACCGTCACCCTTACAGGTCGCAGAGGCACACCGTCACCCTTACAGGCCGCAGAGGCACACCGTCACCCTTACAGGCCGCAGAGGCACACCGTCACCCTTACAGGTCGCAGAGGCACACCGTCACCCTTACAGGTCGCAGAGGCACACCGTCACCCTTACAGGTCGCAGAGGCACACCGTCACCCTTACAGGCCGCAGAGGCACACCGTCACCCTTACAGGCCGCAGAGGCACACCGTCACCCTTACAGGCCGCAGAGGCACACCGTCACCCTTACAGGCCGCAGAGGCACACCGTCACCCTTACAGGCCGCAGAGGCACACCGTCACCCTTACAGGCCGCAGAGGCACACCGTCACCCTTACAGGCCGCAGAGGCACACCGTCACCCTTACAGGCCGCAGAGGCACACCGTCACCCTTACAGGCCGCAGAGGCACACCGTCACCCTTACAGGTCGCAGAGGCACACCGTCACCCTTACAGGTCGCAGAGGCACACCGTCACCCTTACAGGTCGCAGAGGCACACCGTCACCCTTACAGGCCGCAGAGGCACACCGTCACCCTTACAGGCCGCAGAGGCACACCGTCACCCTTACAGGTCGCAGAGGCACACCGTCACCCTTACAGGTCGCAGAGGCACACCGTCACCCTTACAGGCCGCAGAGGCACACCGTCACCCTTACAGGCCGCAGAGGCACACCGTCACCCTTACAGGCCGCAGAGGCACACCGTCACCCTTACAGGCCGCAGAGGCACACCGTCACCCTTACAGGCCGCAGAGGCACACCGTCACCCTTACAGGCCGCAGAGGCACACCGTCACCCTTACAGGTCGCAGAGGCACACCGTCACCCTTACAGGTCGCAGAGGCACACCGTCACCCTTACAGGTCGCAGAGGCACACCGTCACCCTTACAGGCCGCAGAGGCACACCGTCACCCTTACAGGCGCAGAGGCACACCGTCACCCTTACAGGCCGCAGAGGCACACCGTCACCCTTACAGGCCGCAGAGGCACACCGTCACCCTTACAGGTCGCAGAGGCACACCGTCACCCTTACAGGCCGCAGAGGCACACCGTCACCCTTACAGGCCGCAGAGGCACACCGTCACCCTTACAGGTCGCAGAGGCACACCGTCACCCTTACAGGTCGCAGAGGCACACCGTCACCCTTACAGGTCGCAGAGGCACACCGTCACCCTTACAGGTCGCAGAGGCACACCGTCACCCTTACAGGTCGCAGAGGCACACCGTCACCCTTACAGGTCGCAGAGGCACACCGTCACCCTTACAGGTCGCAGAGGCACACCGTCACCCTTACAGGTCGCAGAGGCACACCGTCACCCTTACAGGTCGCAGAGGCACACCGTCACCCTTACAGGTCGCAGAGGCACACCGTCACCCTTACAGGTCGCAGAGGCACACCGTCACCCTTACAGGTCGCAGAGGCACACCGTCACCCTTACAGGTCGCAGAGGCACACCGTCACCCTTACAGGTCGCAGAGGCACACCGTCACCCTTACAGGCGCAGAGGCACACCGTCACCCTTACAGGTCGCAGAGGCACACCGTCACCCTTACAGGTCGCAGAGGCACACCGTCACCCTTACAGGCCGCGCAGAGGCACACCGTCACCCTTACAGGCCGCAGAGGCACACCGTCACCCTTACAGGCCGCAGAGGCACACCGTCACCCTTACAGGCCGCAGAGGCACACCGTCACCCTTACAGGCCGCAGAGGCACACCGTCACCCTTACAGGTCGCAGAGGCACACCGTCACCCTTACAGGCCGCAGAGGCACACCGTCACCCTTACAGGCCGCAGAGGCACACCGTCACCCTTACAGGCCGCAGAGGCACACCGTCACCCTTACAGGCCGCAGAGGCACACCGTCACCCTTACAGGCCGCAGAGGCACACCGTCACCCTTACAGGCCGCAGAGGCACACCGTCACCCTTACAGGCCGCAGAGGCACACCGTCACCCTTACAGGCCGCAGAGGCACACCGTCACCCTTACAGGTCGCAGAGGCACACCGTCACCCTTACAGGTCGCAGAGGCACACCGTCACCCTTACAGGTCGCAGAGGCACACCGTCACCCTTACAGGTCGCAGAGGCACACCGTCACCCTTACAGGTCGCAGAGGCACACCGTCACCCTTACAGGTCGCAGAGGCACACCGTCACCCTTACAGGTCGCAGAGGCACACCGTCACCCTTACAGGTCGCAGAGGCACACCGTCACCCTTACAGGTCGCAGAGGCACACCGTCACCCTTACAGGTCGCAGAGGCACACCGTCACCCTTACAGGTCGCAGAGGCACACCGTCACCCTTACAGGTCGCAGAGGCACACCGTCACCCTTACAGGTCGCAGAGGCACACCGTCACCCTTACAGGTCGCAGAGGCACACCGTCACCCTTACAGGTCGCAGAGGCACACCGTCACCCTTACAGGCCGCAGAGGCACACCGTCACCCTTACAGGTCGCAGAGGCACACCGTCACCCTTACAGGTCGCAGAGGCACACCGTCACCCTTACAGGTCGCAGAGGCACACCGTCACCCTTACAGGTCGCAGAGGCACACCGTCACCCTTACAGGCCGCAGAGGCACACCGTCACCCTTACAGGTCGCAGAGGCACACCGTCACCCTTACAGGCCGCAGAGGCACACCGTCACCCTTACAGGTCGCAGAGGCACACCGTCACCCTTACAGGTCGCAGAGGCACACCGTCACCCTTACAGGTCGCAGAGGCACACCGTCACCCTTACAGGTCGCAGAGGCACACGTCACCCTTACAGGTCGCAGAGGCACACCGTCACCCTTACAGGTCGCAGAGGCACACCGTCACCCTTACAGGTCGCAGAGGCACACCGTCACCCTTACAGGTCGCAGAGGCACACCGTCACCCTTACAGGTCGCAGAGGCACACCGTCACCCTTACAGGTCGCAGAGGCACACCGTCACCCTTACAGGTCGCAGAGGCACACAACAGGTCGCAGAGGCACACCGTCACCCTTACAGGTCGCAGAGGCACACCGTCACCCTTACAGGTCGCAGAAGGCACACCGTCACCCTTACAGGTCGCAGAGGCACACCGTCACCCTTACAGGTCGCAGAGGCACACCGTCACCCTTACAGGTCGCAGAGGCACACCGTCACCCTTACAGGTCGCAGAGGCACACCGTCACCCTTACAGGTCGCAGAGGCACACCGTCACCCTTACAGGTCGCAGAGGCACACACCGTCACCCTTACAGGTCGCAGAGGCACACCGTCACCCTTACAGGTCGCAGAGGCACACCGTCACCCTTACAGGCCGTCCCTCTTCTCTTCCCCTCTTCCCCCACATCTCACGCATGTGCGATGCTATTCATACGCACACATCTCATGCATGTGCTATGCTACTCATACGCACACATCTCATGCATGTGCGATGCTATTCATACGCACACATCTCATGCATGTGCGATGCTATTCATACGCACACATCTCATGCATGTGCTATGCTATTCGTACGCACACATCTCATGCATGTGCGATGCTACTCAGACGCACACATCTCATGCATGTGCTATGCTACTCATATGCACACATCTCATGCATGTGCTATGCTATTCGTACGCACACATCTCATGCATGTGCTATGCTATTCGTACGCACACATCTCTCACCCCAGGGAGCAGAGAGCTGGGTTGTGGGCCCTCCAGGCCTCTCCCTGCCATTCCTGCTCGTCAGGCTCGGGTTCGAGGTGTGGCTCGGCAACAGCAGGTGCGGGCCCTGGAGCTACGGGCACGTGACCTGGGAGCCCAAGGATAAGGTGAGGTGGGGGGGGAGGCGGAGCGGTGAAGGGCGTGTAGGTGCCCTGGAGCCACGGGCACATGACCTGGACGCCCAAGGAGAGGGTGGTATTGGGGGGAGGGGATGGGGGGATGGGTATGGGGATAGGGATGGGGATGGGGATGGGGATGGGGATGGGGATGGGGATGGGGATGGGGATGGGCTTGTCCGTGCCATCTCTCATGCCATGCCACATGCATGCAGCGGTACTGAGAGTGGACTGGGATGGTCGCATGCATCTCGTCAGTCATGTCACTCGAGATGCCATTCCTCGTGCCATGCTGTGCCTCATGTCTTCTCCTTTCCTCATATCACACCCATCGTGCCTCATTTCTTCGCCTTTCCTCATATCACACCCATCGTGCCTCATTTCTTCGCCTTTCCTCATATCACACCCATCGTGCCTCACTTCTTCTCCTTTCCTCATATCACACCCATCGTGCCTCACTTCTTCTCCTTTCCTCATATCACACCCATCGTGCCTCACTTCTTCTCCTTTCCTCATATCACACCCATCGTGCCTCACTTCTTCTCTTTTCCTCATATCACACCCATCGTGCCTCACTTCTTCTCCTTTCCTCATATCACACCCATCGTGCCTCACTTCTACTCCTTTCCTCATATCACACCCATCGTGCCTCACCCCTCACAGCGGTACTAGGAGTGGACGTGGGCGGACATGGCGGCCAGCGACCTGCCACATGGAGTCTTCAGACTACATGCTGTCACCCACCCACGTCTCATGCCGTGCCGCCCCTCTTGCCACATGCAGCGGTACTGGGAGTGGACGTGGGCGGACATGGCGGCCAACGACCTGCCAGCGCAGATAGACTACATCCTCTCAGCCTCTCGCACAGGGGCGAGGCAGGTGTTCTACGTGGGGCACTCTCAGGTGCGCATGGAGCGATGATGTGTCGCCCTACCATGTCGCCCTACCATGTCGCCCTACCATGTCGCCCTACCATGTCGCCCTACCATGTCGCCCTACCATGCACGGGGGCGAGGCACGGCTACTAAAGGGGCACCCGCAGGTGCGCATGGCGTGGCAACGTGCCGTCTTACCATACATCCTGTTTTGAGGCGCCTCAAAACGTGGTAACGTGCCGTCTTACCATACATCCTGTCAGCCTCTCGCACGGGGGCACAGCAGGTGCTCTACGTGGGCACTGTCAGGCGAGTCTCTTGTTTCATCATGCTCATTGTGTCTACGTGGGGCCCATTGCTCAATTCCACTGTGTTCACAGTGCGCTGCTGTGTGGCACTGTGTCGCTTCGCTGTGTGCGCGGTCTTTCCTCAATCTGCCTTCCCTTGGCTTTCCCGGGTTTCGTCACCCATTCACCATCGCCTCGGTTTTTCGTATCTCCCTTAGAATCTCCTGCCTTCCTCCTCCCCTTTCTCTCCCTTTTCTCTCTCCCTTTCTCTCCCCTTTCTCTCCCTTTCTCTCCCTTTCTCTCCCTTTCTCTCCCTTTCTCTCCCCTTTCTCTCCCTTTCTTTTCCAAGTGGTGCTCCCCCCTCAGCGCATGCTCTCCTTCCTCTTCTCCCTCTCTGCCAGCTACCTGCCCCCCCAACCCCCCGCGCCTTCTCTCTCCCCCAGGGCACGCTCACCTTCCTCGCCTCCCTCTCTGGGGGGCGATCCTTGGACATCTTCCAGTGAGCGCGGCGTCAGTGAGCGCCGCGCGGCGCGACGCGGACATCTTCAAAAATAGACTCCCCACCCCTTCTCTCTCCCCCAGGGCGCGCTTTCCTTCCTCTCCTCCCTCTCTGGGGGGCACCTTCCCCCCTCCACTGTCGCTGCTGCCTTCCTCCTCGCCCCGGTCACCTCCCCTCGCGCACCTCTCCTCTCCTGTCGCCCACGAAGCAGCCAAGCTCGACCTTGACAGGGTGAGCGCCGATGAGTACTAATGATTGTTCAATACTCTCATCGCCCCATCACCTCCCTCGTGCACCTCATCGCCAGCCGCCCACGAAGCAGCCAAGTGGGACCTGCACTGGGGGAAGGGGAGCCATCTGCGCTGCCCCTCGTTCGAGTGGTGTGTGTGCCTGCAATGAGCCTTTCTCCAGAATCGAACTGTAGCTGTCCTCAAGAATCTCCAGGGGCGTTCTTAGTGCCCCTGTCCATTGCATTGTTCGTAGTGCCCCCTGTCCATTGTATTGTGTTCTTCCAACATGTGTGAGTATCGACCACAGTGTCGTCCACACAGTATGGCTAACCGTCCAACCGACCACAGTATCGTCCACAGTATGGCTAACCGTCCAACCGACCACAGTATCGTCCACAGTATGGCTAACCGTCCAACCGACCACAGTATCGTCCACAGTATGGCTAACCCTCCAACCGACCACAGTATCGTCCACAGTATGGCTAACCGTCCAACCGACCACAGTATTGTCCACAGTATGGCTAACCCTCCAACCGACCACAGTATGGTCCACAGCATTTCTATCAGCGTCTCTTGCCTTCCTACCAACCCGCATCCCTCCCCTCCCCTCTGCCCTGCCTTTCTTTTTCCCCAATTCTTGTCTCCACGTCCCCTTTCCTCTTTTTGGTTTTTGTTTTTGTTTTTTTTTGTTCTCCAGTTTGTGAGAGCAACTCACCTCCACGAGTTTAGCCTACGCAAGTGAGTGCAACAGGGACTACTCTCACCCATGGCTTCATACTCCATGGCAAGTGAGTGCATCGGCAAGTGAGTGCATCGGCAAGTGAGTGCATCGGCAAGTGAGTGCATCGGCAAGTGAGTGCATCGGCAAGTGAGTGCGTCGGCAAGTGAGTGCATCGGCAAGTGAGTGCATCGGTGTTCCACCGGTGTTCCATCCACCTAACTGGTGTTCCATCCACCTAACTGGTGTTCCACCGGTGTTCCATCCACCTAACTGGTGTTCCATCCACCTAACTGGTGTTCCACCGGTGTTCCATCCACCTAACTGGTGTTCCACTGGTGTTCCATCCACCTAACTGGTGTTCCACCGGTGTTCCATCCACCTAACTGGTGTTCCACCCGGTGTTCCATCCACCTAACTGGTGTTCCATCCACCTAACTGGTGTTCCACCGGCAACTGGGAATACTCTCACCCATGGCTTCATAGTGTGCATAATTTAAATTATTGTTACCATGCATCAATGCAAAAAACATTCAAAAGAGGAAAGCACCTCCACGAGTTCAGCCTGCGCAAGCGACCCCCCCCCCCCCCCGCCCCCCCCTCTCTTTTTTTTGTTAAGGTCTGGATTCATTGTTGTGAAATCTTTGGATGCTGCTGCCAATCATTGCACCGTGTTAGGAGATAGTGGCTTTCACAGGTTCAGCCTGTGCAAGTGCATAACCACATATACTCGAGAGTCTTATGCATGCTTATTCTACGTAAACGTGACCTGAGAATCTACATAAATGCATGGCGATGACGAGTGTTACTTGACGTTCAAACGTGTGTTCACGGTAATGATTGTCACTCCGTGTTCCGTGTTCCGTGCATTTGTATTGTCATTCGTTATGACCATTGTCCTAGGGAAGCTCGTGGTGGCCATGGCTTGTGGCTCGCCTCGCATTAGCTTCTCCTCTCTGCCCCTTCAAGGCGCCTCCAAAGTCTTTGCGGGGGTCCACCATTTACCGCCATTCAATGCTCCCCTCCCTGTGCGCAGTGCATTGGGCGAGCTGGTAGTGGCCACGGCTTGTGCTTCTCCTCGCATCAACTGCTCCTCGCTGCTCTCTGCATTCACAGGCACGTCCGTTTCAAAACCAGAAGCCAAGAAAACCAGAACCCAAGAAAACCAGAAGCCAAGAAAACCAGAAGCCAAGAAAACAAGAAGCCAAGAAAACACAGTAGCCGTAGTTGCGGCTGCCGTTCCCATTACTTCTGAGGCGCCTCAAAAGTCCATCATGCCAGTTGCCACGTCATCCATGTTTTTCACTAGGTGACTTTTGAGTCGACTCAGAAGTCACCTCCTCGTTACAATGTCACACAACACCTTTCATCATGCAGTTGCTACGTCATCCATATTTCCACTTGTTGGTGCTTCTTGAAAGGTGAGAGGTTTCACTTGTTGGTGTTTTCCCCATGTCACTGCACCAGTCAACCCTCCCCGTGCGTAACGACTCAAAGACTCAAAGAAGCTTTCCCTTTGCCTGTGCACAGGGCCCAACTGCTGCATCGACATCCGCTATTTCGCCAAGCTGGTGCCCTGGTTCCCTCTTGCGTCCTCTGTCAAGAACATGGCACATTTCGGACAGAGTAAGGAGGACAAACACTTCGCACAAAATACCCCGATAGGGTGCTTTTCTGGTCATTTAATATAGTGGTAGCAACTGCACCTTCGTGTCAAACTTGTGATCTCAGCTCTGTTCCCTTCCAACACCTGCCTCCTGTATCTTTTCTCTCTTTCTGTATTCCCCAGCCTTCCTGGCAATACCTCTAAGCCTTTCAAGCCTTTCTGAATCAAAGCGCCCATTTTTGTCCCACAACCCCCCCTCTCCCCTCTCCCCGTCCACCCCTTGCTACAAGTGGTTCGCTCTGGTGAGTGGAAGCAGTTTGACTATGGCTTCCTCAAGAACTGGCTGCGTTACCACCAAAGCACACCGCCCTTCTTCCGCCCGTCAGCCTTCCCCTCTACTATACGACTCGCTATTGCCTATGGTGGTAGGGACTCCCTTGCGGCCCCTGCTGATGTGGAATGGTTCATATCCAAACTGGCACAACGACCGAAGGTGATGTACATGCCGAATTATGCACATCTAGACTTTTTGTTCGCCTCTTTTGTCGTTGAGGATGTTTACACTCAGATAGTGAGATTCTTTACTGACTATGGGCTGGACCGAGCATATGAATGAAGCACTTTGCCGTGGGAGACTTTTGTGTGCCATCTGTTTGAAACATTAGTGTGAAGCTTCACAAATGCGTGAGAAAAGGAGAATGAAGAAGGGGACTGATTTATCACAGGTTGAAAATTGACCTATGTTGTAGTATCACTATAAAAAGATCAGAATGTTGTGCACTTACCCGGACTTCTTCTCTCGTCGACTATCAGAAAACGATATCCTCGCTATTGCACTGGTGAAGGTGTGCGGGTGTTTCAACCGACCAATTCGCTCTGCAGGGACGATCAATGGCGGTTCAGACTGAACCAGTTAGCTGCTTGCCGCGACGCCTCGTTTCGTCGCTACCCGTGTGCGTATCTAAGACGTGTACCGTACTGTATCTGACATCGCGCACTACTACTCCTCACGAGCTCGTTTCTCTCGCTGCGTCCGCGGGAGGCCAGCCGAGATCAGCTGGTTCTGATGCGCTCCTTATACAGTAGAACCTAATTCTAGCGGCTTCAGTGCACTGTAGGCCTTACACCGTTATACCACGCGAGGCTGTTATCGCGGATGGACTCTCCACAGCCATTTAAGTTAGTAGCTTTAGGTCTCGAACGGATACTAAGTTCCTCTTCAGGCCAGGCTCTACTAGAAGCATGCGACGACCCACGCCTTCTCGAGACGCACTTCATTCGCGCTATTAGGATCGTCCACACAGCGTCCTCCACGTGTCCCAGTTCAACCTTCAACCACTCATAATCCTCCACGTGTGCTAGGCCCCTCGCTGTTATTCAGTCGACGCCCCTTCCGCTCCTCGCTCTTCCTCCTCCTCGCATTTCTTCTCAGCACCCGTTTCGTCGCCTGCTCCGTCGCCAAACCTCTTCGCGATCCTTTTCGCGAGCCTTTTCGCGAGCCAGGCCGCCGGCGCCTGGCAGAGGACGGCCTCAGCGGTCTTCACGAGAAGCTCGGCGCGCTGTGGGACATGGCCAGCCGCGTCTCGCTTAACGGGACTGTCATTATCGCGTCCTCAAATGCAGGTGAGCCAGCAGCTTCTGCGTGCCCTCCTCCCGCCAACCCCCCACTCTGCTCCCGAACCCGAAGTGCTGTAAGCGCCCTGCTAAACGTTTTTGTACGCCGCCTCCTGTTTCCCCCTCTACCCCCCCCTCCCCCACTCGTTACCCTGTTACCCTGTTACCCTGCTACCATGTTACCCTGCTACCCTGTTACCCTGTTACCCTGTTACCCTGCTACCCTGTTACCCTGCTACCCTGTTACCCTGCTAACCCTGTTACCTTGCTACCTTGTTACCCTGCTACCATGTTACCCTGCTACCCTGTTACCCTGCTACCCTGTTACCCTGCTACCCTGTTACCCTGCTACCCTGTTACCTTGCTACCTTGTTACCCTGCTACCATGTTACCCTGCTACCCCTGTTACCCTGCTACCCTGTTACCCTGCTACCCTGTTACCCTGCTACCCTGTTACCCTGCTACCCTGTTACCCTGCTATCCTGTTACCCTGCTACCCTGTTACCCCTGCTATCCGGTTACCCTGCTACCTGTTACCCTGCTACCCTGTTACCCTGCTACCCTGTTACCCTGCTACCCTGTTACCCTGCTACCCTGTACCCTGCTACCCTGTTACCTGCTACCCTGTTACCCTGCTACCCCTGTACCTGCTACCCCTTTACCTTGCTACCTTGTTACCCCTGCTACCATGTTACCCTGCTACCCTGTTACCTGCTACCCTGTTACCCTGCTACCCTGTTACCCTGCTACCCTGTTACCCTGCTACCCTGTTACCCTGCTACCCTGTTACCCTGCTACCCTGTTACCTTGTCCTGTCCTGCTACCTGTTACCCTGCTACCCTGTACCCTGCTACCTGTTACCCTGCTACCCTGTTACCCTGCTACCCTGTTACCCTGCTACCCTGTTACCCTGCACCTGTTACCCTGCTACCCCTGTTACCCTGCTATCCGGTTACCCTGCTTACCCTGCTACCCTGGCTACCCTGTTACCCTGCTATCCCTGGTTTACCCCTGCTACCCCCTGCTTTTACCTGCTACCCTGTATTTACCCCTTGCTACCCTGTTACCCCTGCTACCCTGTTACCCTGCTATGCTACCCTGTTACCCTGCTACCCTGTTACCCTGCTACCCTGTTACCCTGCTACTGTTACCCTGCTACCCTGTTACCCTGCCCTACCCTGTTACCCTGCTACCCTGTTACCCTGCTACCCTGTTACCCTGCTACCCTGTTACCCTGCTCCCTGTTACCCTGCTACCCTGTTACCCCTGCTTACCCCTGTTACCCCCTGCCTACCCTGTTACCCTGCTACCCTGTTACCCTGCTACCCTGTTACCCTGCTACCCTGTACCCTGCTACCTGTACCCTGCTACCGTGCTACCCTGTTACCCTGCTACCCTGTTACCCTGCTACCCTGTTACCCTGCTACCCTGTTACCCTGCTACCCTGTTACCCTGCTACCCTGTTTACCCTGCTACCCTGTTACCCTGCTACCTGTTACCTGCTACCTGTTACCCTGCTACCCTGTTACCCTGTATCCTGTTACCTGCTAACCCTGTTACCCTGCTACCCTGTTACCCTGCTACCCTGTTACCCATGCTTCGAGGACAAGCTGGAACACTGGGTGCCGCATTGGGAGACTCCTGAATGGTTGACTTGACATATTTCCCCGTCCGTTCCCTTGCTTCCTTGCCCTGTGTGCCTGTTGCCCTGTGTGCCTGTTGCCCTGTGTCCCTGTTGCCCTGTGTCCCTGTTGCCTGTGTCCCTGTTGCCCTGTGTCCCTGTTGCCTGTGTCCCTGTCCCTTGCCCGCCTGTGTCCCTGTTGCCCTGTGTGCCTGTTGCCCTGTGTCCCTGTTGCCCTGTGTCCCTGTTGCCCTGTGTGCCTGTTGCCCTGTGTCCCTGTTGCCCTGTGTCCCTGTTGCCCTGTGTGCCTGTTGCCCTGTGTCCCTGTTGCCCTGTGTCCCTGTTGCCCTGTGTGCCTGTTGCCCTGTGTCCCCTGTTGCCCTGTGTCCCTGTTGCCCTGTGTCCCTGTTGCCCTGTGTCCCTGTTGCCCTGTGTCCCTGTTGCCCTGTGTGGCCCTGTTGCCCTGTGTCCCTGTTGCCCTGTGTCCCTGTTGCCCTGTGTCCCTGTTGCCCTGTGTGCCTGTTGCCCTGTGTCCCCCTGTTGCCCCTGTGTGCCTGTTGCCCTGTGTCCCTGTTGCCCTGTGTGCCTGTTGCCCTGTGTCCCTGTTACTCCGCTACCATGTTACCGTGTAACCAGGCTACGAGGACATGTTGGAGAACTGGGTGTTGCATCTGGAGCGGGTGGGTCTGGGGCGCCACTTCATAGTCTTTGCGGCAGACAACAAGAGCCTCCACTTCGCCCAGTCCAAATGGCCCGGCCAGGCAAGCTCTCATCAGACGCCCTAACTGCCCAATCATATGAATCTGGAGCGGGTGGCCGGGGTGGGTCTGGGGCGGCGGCACTTTATTGTTTTCACAGAAGCCTCGAATTCGTCCAGTCCAAATGGCCCGGGCAGGTGAGCTCCGACGAAGCCTTACTTGCCTGACGATTCTATGAACTCTCAGGAGCCCAATGGCTGGATCAGGTGGGTTCGGGCCAGGCCGTGTTTCACTGTCTTTGCAGCGGACAGCAAAAGCCTCGACTTGGCGCGCTCCAAGTGGCCGGGAGCAAGGTTCAAAAATACGGTTATCGAAAAATACGGTCCGCACTATTAGACCGTTTTTTTCAGGAATTTTGGGGAAAAAACGCCGGTTTTTCAAATAGAGCCTCTCAAATATTTTATTTCTTATTTTTTGGTAGACAGCCTAATCATCCACCAGATCCGCGCCTTTCGTCCGCCCAAATGCGAGATCTGCGCCTTTCGACGGGCGAAATGTCAGATCTGCGTATTTCGGCTGATGAAACGTCAGATCCATGCATTTCGTCCACCAAAAACGCAAGATCTGGCACATTTTGGGGAGCAATATGCCAGATCCGTGCATTTCGGAGGGCGAAATACCAGATCCGCGCATTTCGTCGGATTGTTTTGCACAGTCTAAAATTTTGGCCGTATTTTTTAACCAGCCTATTTTGGCACATTTTTACCGTTTTTTTTTCGTATTAAACGACCGTTTAATTCGATACCGGTTTATATGGGAAATTTTTGAAAAAAAACTGCATTTTTTAACCTTGGCCAGGAGCAGTGAACATTGGGCTCTCGAGACAGACAGGCAGACAGGTGAGTTCTTCTTCTGCCACCCCACCTCAAGAGCTGATTTTGAGGCGCCTCAAAACTACACTCCAAGTGGCTGGGAGCAGAGAATGTCGGGCTCTTGAGACAGACAGGTGAGTTCGTCTTCTGCCAGCTCTTGAGGTGGATGCCAAAGAAGGACTGCTTTTGAGTCGAGTCAAGAGCAGGTGAAAGTTCCTATCCGAAAAGCTCTCCATTCTGAAAAGCACTCCATTCTGAAAAGCACTCCATTCTGAAAAGCACTCCATTCTGAAAAGCACTCCATTCTGAAAAGCACTCCATTCCGAAAAGCACTCCATTCTGAAAAGCACTCCATTCTGAAAAGCACTCCATTCTGAAAAGCACTCCATTCTGAAAAGCACTCCATTCTGAAAAGCACTCCATTCTGAAAAGCACTCCATTCTGAAAAGCACTCCATTCTGAAAAGCACTCCATTCCGAAAAGCACTCCATTCCGAAAAGCACTCCATTCGGAAAAGCACTCCATTCTGAAAAGCACTCCATTCCGAAAAGCACTCCATTCCGAAAAGCACTCCATTCTGAAAAGCACTCCATTCTGAAAAGCACTCCATTCTGAAAAGCACTCCATTCTGAAAAGCACTCCATTCCGAAAAGCACTCCATTCTGAAAAGCACTCCATTCTGAAAAGCACTCCATTCCGAAAAGCACTCCATTCCGAAAAGCACTCCATTCCGAAAAGCACTCCATTCGGAAAAGCACTCCATTCTGAAAAGCACTCCATTCCGAAAAGCACTCCATTCCGAAAAGCACTCCATTCCGAAAAGCACTCCATTCTGAAAAGCACTCCATTCTGAAAAGCACTCCATTCTGAAAAGCACTCCATTCTGAAAAGCACTCCATTCTGAAAAGCACTCCATTCTGAAAAGCACTCCATTCCGAAAAGCACTCCATTCCGAAAAGCACTCCATTCTGAAAAAGCGCTGCCATGCTGTCACTTCCACGCCCCCCACTCTCCCCCTGGCAGCGCCCTCCAGGCCATTCGTCTCCAACTGATAGGCCAACTCAGCGGCAGCAAGGCAAGGAGTTGGTGGCACGCGGAGGGAGCGCCGACCATCAGCTCAACCCCTCTCCCTCCCCCCGTACCCTCCTCTCTCCCCTCCGTTCCCCACCAGGCCATCCATCTGGACTTGAGTGGGCAGTTTGGGGAGGAAGAGAAAGCGGACGTGGAGGGTGCATCACGCATCGGGTCGGCGGCCTTTCACCGCGTGGCGTCGCACCGGGCCGTGTACATCCACCACCTGCTGGCCTTCGGCTTCTCTGTGCTCTACAGCGACATCGACATCGCCTTCCTCCACAACCCCCTCCCCTTCTTCCAAAAGCCACACTCCCTCCCTTCTTCCAAAAGCCACACTCCCCACCTGCTGCGGCTGCTGCTGAATCCTCCTTCCAGCCCAGCGGCAGCAGCGGCAGCGGCAGCAGGGGCAGTAGCAGCGACTTTAACATAGGAAATTCCACTCCTGGCGATGGCGGTACGGACGCTACTGGCGACTTTGACATGTTTCTCACGCACGACCACTACATACAGCAGCCGTCGCCCTACACGGAGCCAATTTCCCCCTCCCATCTGAACGGGCAGCCGCTCTTCTGCAGCGGCTTCCTCTTCTTCCGCCCCACCGCCGCCACCAAGTCCCTCGTGGGCAACTGGGCGTTTCGGATGGCCAAGTTGGGCCGGCAGGCGGGGTTGGACCAGGACCACTTGAACTCTGTCATGCAGTGGATGTTCCAGGGACGGGTTCTGCCTCGGCTGGGCGTGCTGCCGCCGCTGCAGTTCCCCTCGGGGGAGCTGATGCAGCGGCACTGGGAGGTGTTTGAGGAGGTGCGGCCGAGAGTGGTGATGGTGCATGCGAATTATTTGACGGGGAAGGAGGCGAAGATCGCGGGGCTGAAACGGGCGGGAGTGTGGCGGGTGAAAGAGGAGGGGAATGCGACCACCGCTGCTGCTGCTGCTGCTGCTGGTGCGGGGCGGGTGGAGGGGCAACGGTCGGGGGTAGGTGAGAAGGAGAAGGCAGAGGAGGGGAAGGTGGGGAGGAATGAAGAAGCGGGGGAAAAAGAGGGGAGGAAGAGGAGGAGGAGGAGGAGGAGGAGGAGCCAGTGGTGCTGTTCCCCATGCCTAGGCCCTCCGAAGGGGCAGGGAGGGGCGCCTTTGGTGAGACTCCAGGGATGCTGGAGGGGGGGAGAGAGCAGGGCAGGGGGGGAAGGGAAAGGCAGGGGAGGAGCAGTCAGTGGGAGGGGCGCTAGGTGGAAACGGTGTGGAGGGAGGGGAGATTGGGAGGGTCAGCTGTTGCGGCATTGGAGCCGTGGGTGCGGAGCATCTGGGGAAGATGCAGGAGGGGCGACGCGGATTATGGGGGCTGCTGGCATGGTGGTCGTGACTGCTGCCTGCGAGGGTGAGTGGCTGTTGCCTGTGGCGGTGAGTTGTTGGTGCTTTCGTGGTATGCTGTGGGTAGTGCTGGCAGCGTTGAGCCGTGGGTGCGGGAGCATGTGGGGAAGATGCAGGGGGGGAGATGCGTATTATAAGGGCTGCTGGCAGGCATAGTGGTCGTGGCTGTTGCTTGCGATGGTGTGTGTGTACTTAGAGGTCACCTCTGCTCGCAGGTGAGTGTTGAAAGGGAGGAATTAAGCAGTTGAGTGGAATCAAGCAGTTGCGCATAATCATTGGATCATGTGGAAGATGCACGAGGGGGGGCGACTTGTATGATAGATGCTGCTGGGATGGTGGTCGTGGCTGCTGCCTGCGCTGGTGACTCTGAAGAAGATGACATCTGAATTTTGAGGCGCCTAAAAAATGGTCGTGACTGCTGCCTGCGCTGCTGACTCTGAAAAAGATGACATCTGAATCAAAACAACAAGCGGGTTGAGCGCGTGGTCATGTGCCGCATCCCCTCCCTTCGATTTTGAGAATTCTCAGGCACCAGCTGATCTCATTTGGGCCACATCCCCTCCCTTGCCCGCCTCAAGTTGCTGCTGAGCTGGCCCCCATACCGCAACCTCCCTGTCTGTCGCCCTACCCACAGGCCAGCCAGACTGCACTCTTTCCGCGACTGGTACACGCACATGGCCGCATCCCCTCCCTCATGCATGTGCTTCTATCGCTCAAATCGGTTCCCCCTACCCCCTCCCTTTGCTCCCTCCCTTGCCAGCAGGCCAGGAGCCGTTTTCCGCAACTGGTACACGCACATGGGCCGCATCCCTCCCTTGTCGCCCTCTTGTTGCTGCTCACCCCTTACCGCCCCGTCCCTATGCTTGCACCTGTGCCCCCACTCTCAGCCACGACGCGCTCTTCCACAACTGGTACAACGCACATGGGCCGCGTCCCCTCCCCTCGGCAGCATCGTCCCTCGCCTCCGTGCCTCTTCAGGTGAAGTTGAGCGTCCCGGGCGCACCAAAGGAACGCCTCCATACCGCCCCAGGTGAAGCCCGCCCCAGGTGAAGCCCTCCCAGCTCTCTCCGCTCTCCTCTCCTAGGCGATTTTTCTAGTCGACTCAAAAAATCGCATCCCCTCCCTCGGCAGCATCGTCTTCGCCTCCGCACCGCCCCAGGTGAAGCCCGCCCGCCACCCCTCCATCCGCCCATTTCCCCCTCTCCATCCGCCCATTTCCCCCCTCCATCCGCCCATTTCCCCTCCATCTGCCATTTTCCATCCGCCCATTTCCCCCCTCCATCCGCCCATTTCCCCCCTCCATCCGCCCATTTCCCCCTCCACCGCCATTTTCCCCCTCCATCCGCCCATTTCCCCCTCCATCCCCCCTCCATCCGCCCATTTCCCCCCTCCATCCGCCCATTCCCCTCTCCATGATGGTAAAATGCGTTGCAAAGCAGCGGTTCTGAGTTGAGCTCGAGCTTAAAAGAATGACAGTAGGTTTGCTTAAAACCAGGATGAACTAGTTTCGGCTTAAAAAAGCCTTCATCAGCATCTGCGAACATCCTAGGCATTCGACGCTGTATATGTAGGAAAGGCGCGGACCCGAGAAATTCTTGAGGGTCCACGGCCAACCCCGAGAAGGGGTCCTGAGCCCGGCTATAATTAGATCAGTGTAACAAAATGAAACACTATTCTAGCATTTCTTAGCTGCGACTATAAAATCCTTGATCTTCTTCGTAGTTTCCATGCTATCAAAGCACGTCTCCCTTTGAATACACCGTGTGTCAGCTTGTCCAGGTGTATTTTGAGTCGACTCAAAATATACCTCTCCATCCGCCCATTTCCCCCTCTCCATCCGCCCATTTCCCCCCTCCATCCGCGCCCCTCCTCTCCCTTCTCATCCCACCCCGTGCATGCATCCCTCTGCTCCTCATCTCGTTTCCCCCCATGGCTACATATTCACACCCATCCCTATGCTCTCGTTTCTGCCCATCCCTATGCTCTCGTTTCCGCCCGCATCCTTATCACTCTCGTGTCCGCCCATCCCAATGCTTTCTTTCCCAGTGCAACCTCCCCCCCCCCCCCCCCCCGTCTTTTTTTCTGCAGAGGCCACACCATGGCGCACCCATCCCCTCCACCCATCCCCTCCACGCCAGGGGGTCACACACGTGGACAGACCCAGGGAAAACCTGTCACCCAGACCAGGAGGTTGACTACAGCCACGCGCCTTTATCCCCCCCCTATCCTCTCTTCTCCCTTCGCCACCCCCAACCACCAGCTGCACACACGGCGCGAAGAGCATCTCGCCCCGTGGATCTGGAGCCGCATGCTTGCCTGCTTCCTCCCCCTCATCCTGGCGGCCACACCATGGAGCGCCCTAAACCCCGAAACCCCCAAACCCGTAAACCCTAAAGCCGTAAATCCTTAAACCCCGAAACCCCTAAACCCCTCATCCTGCCTTCTCCCGTTCTCCATCTCCCCGCGCCAAGCAGATGCGCACACCAGGCGGCCATACGGTTGATCGCCCCAAGGAGAGCATCTCGCCCGC